GGGCCGGGCGCCCCGTTCCGCTGCAGCCGTCGTGCCGGTGCCGGCAGCCCCGCACCGGGATGGCTGGAGGCAGCGCACGCGAGCGCCCGCCCCGCCACCTCCACCCCGGCCTGTGTCCCTTTGCYTCAGCTTCTTCATTACGTGGCCTCATTACCAACATCTTGGTTGCAATTCTCGTACCTCCGAAACTAGCGTAATGTTCCTGTAATGCGGAAAACAGAATAGATCAGATACCTCCTAAATTGGCAGATCCCGGATTTCTCGCGACTGTGCTAATGTGTAATTCATTTATGCAAACTTACTGTCCATTAACATTTCCTGTAGAGCTCCATTAGCTTTAMTAATACATTAGCACCTTTGTGAGGCTTGATCAAATACTTAACGGGGGAAGAAAAACCCCGTCTCCGATTGCGCGGAGGAATTGAAATCTTGCCGGCTCGTTCGCCCCTGTCGCAAGTGCTCAGAGGGGCTGGGGATCCCTTGTAGAAGTGCCACGGCAATCCTGCGGGTTTCCCGCGTGCTGGGGAGGGTCGGGGTCCGAGGAAAAGGGCTCCCTGTGTGCGTTTCGGAGTTCTCTGTGCCTTCCTGTGAGGACCACCGAAATGCCTCTCGACTGCCTTCATTCTGGGCCTTTATGCATCCGCGCACGGTGACGACAAGGTCCGTGTACGGTGCCCGCGTTTGCCGTTTGGTCGGAGCCGTGGGGGCGCGCGAGCCCTTTCCTGRCCCCAGGCTGGCGTGCCTTGCTCTCGGCAATGGGCTGCCTTGTGCGCTGAGGTCGCCTGGCATCCGTGCGGCGCCTCAAGCTTGAGGCGCATTGGGGAAGGGCCAAGGGATGATGGATGGAGCCCTCCAAGCTGACGAGGTATTTTTTGTCGGACTAGATTTCAGAATAAGGAGATCTCTCTGTAAGATGCAATGCAAACGTGAGAAACCAAAACCAAGGCAAAGCCCAGCAGCACTGCCCAAAATGCAGCGCACTTGGCCAGGTGGGGCCTCTGGAAAATTAGGCCCAGAAGTGTCGTTGAGAATCGAAAGGGCTTCTACTTCAACTTTTTGAAGTGCTTTTGGGAATGTTACGGAAGCCGCCTAGATATTTGAGTGACCTGATCTCATGTGTTTAAAGGAAAAGCTGTAGGAATTGAGGCCTGCAAAGTGACCTACTTCACTCCGCTTTAGAGGCCGTGATTTGTGAGCAGTTCCGTGTGCGTGGCGCCTCAAAGGGAACGGCACGCATCGGGACACTTGTGCAGCTTCCCCGCCGCGTGCGGAGCTCCCCTCCTCCCGTGCTCGGCCAAAGCCGCCGAGGGCGCGGGGTCTGCGTGGGAGGCGAGCGCCTGCTGGCGCCGGCACGGCCTGCGGCCAGGGGCTGCCGCTCGCCCTGGGCGCAGCAACGCTTCCTCGGGGCCAGCCCGGCCGGGCGCGGGAGCGGGTCCTGCCCGGCATTGCCCCGCGCCGCGCCCAGGAAGCTACCGTGGCACAGCCTGGCCCTTTGTGCGCTCCCGAGATAAAGGCTGCCCTGCGAGCGTGAGCTGGGGCTTTGAAAAGAAGTCTCTGGGAAGAAGCGTCCCCTACTATGAATTAAAATCTCCCGGTAATGCTTTCTGTAAGCAAACAGAGTTTGACAAATGGTGCTGTGTACCCGCAGTAACAATAACACTTTCATGCTTGATTAATAGCCACCCCGGCCAATATATAACCCCGTGCAAAGGATGGGCACAATATGTTGCACGGTATTGGTGTGAAAATAGCTGTTCATTCGGGCTGGAGTTGCTTTCCCTTTGTGATTCAGATCATTCGAGAGGGATGGAAGAGCAGTAGGTTGAGTGTAATTTTAGAAAGGAAATGAAGCAACAAAATGCATTAAAATATCATTAAGGAATTGAATGGAACCAGACATTCTCGGAGACGTTTAAGCGCCGTGTTTGGGTACTTGGCTTTATCTTATTATGTGGTACTGGAAATGAAAGTGTGGAGGTCCTGTTCTGCCATTTTGTCTCTCTCGGTTTTGTTTTTTTTTGCTTGGGGGGATTTTTGGTTCTGATTAATTGTGCGCTGACTTTGGATGTCTACGAGCCTACCTGCGAAACGTGCACCCGGAGACTCTGCTAGGGCGTCTCTCCCTGTGCCAGGAGCCTTCCCTGCACCCAGTTACGGTGAGAAAGTCTCCTTGTACATATGCTGTCATACCTTCAGTAATCTTTATATTTCTGCGGAGTACAGATACTAATTGCAAAGTATGCAGCGAAGCGATGAACATCAACGTAATTTATCATCTGGAGATTTCTGAAAATGAATARATGAGTTGTTTTGTTCGGCGAGGTGTCGACCCTTTCGGGAACTTTCATTTAAAGCTTCTCTTCTTCTCTGTGTAAATACGAAAAGCGCCACAATCAGCCAAGTGCTCCGCTGTTTGATTTTCCGGGGCATTAGCCGCTCCTGTTCGTGCCGTGTCCCAGTTGGGTGCTCGCTGGCGAGCTCGCTAACAGGGCTGCCCGTGCGGAGCGCGGGGCTGCGCGGCGGGGAGGGCTGCCCTGCCCCGGCCGCCGGGGAGCTGCCCCGGGGAGCCCCGTCCCGGGGAGCCCTGCGCCGCGCCGCGCCCGGGCGGCACCTCGCCTCCATCCGCAGCGCCGGCCCGGCCGCCCCGGCGACGAGGAGCGGGAGTTGCGCCTGGTTGCTGGCGTGCCGTGTGGGCTGCCGGTCGGCGCCGGTGTCCTCGGGAAGGCCGGGACGCGCCGCGAGGCGCTCGCGCTCGCTGGCTGCCACGCACGCGGCCCTTCCTCGTAAGGCAGCCGGCCCCATTTGGGGGTAACGGTGGCACTTGTATAACAACCCGCGAAGAAACGGACGGCTTTTCTGACTTCCTTCTTACTAGTCCAGAATAGGTCACTTCCGAACTGCCTGTCTCGCACGTCAGTGCAGTAAGGCACAGAAGGGGTGGGAAGCCCAAGTTTCTCGCAGTTTCTCGCCGCTTGCGGAAGCAGGAGGCTGCAGGGCCGCCGCGGCCTCGCCTGCCTTCGTGGGCACTCGGCTCCACMAGGAAGCTCATCCAACGCACGGTGCTTTCCTAATAACTTCTTCAAATTGGTTGCTGCTGCCGTGTAACCTTTAGACTGCTGGTATTTAACCTTGTGTATCCCTCTCAGCCTTTGCATGAATTGCATGTAATAAAGGTGCCTTGTTAAGTCCCGAGGCTCGGGTGTTGTAAGGCGCTAGCACCAGGCACCGGGCCTCGGAGGAAGTGGCTGCCGGCTGCCGGGGGCAGTTGGCTGCCGGTGGAGCTGGGTGCGCAGCGCGGCAGGGCGATGCCGCCGCGGCCGCAGTCCCGGCGGGAACGGTCCGGGAGCCGCGCGCGTCCCGGCGGGAACGGCTCCCTGCGCGGCTGCCCCTTCCCCGAGGCTGCGAGAGGCAGCTGCACTGGGGATTAGTCTGTGGAGCGCGGCTGTGGCCGAGGCGTCTCAGGAGAGGATTTACTGGTGTGGCTTATTCCATTACTGGAAATTATGCGAGCTTAAATTGGTTAAAGCCTAACGTGGGTTTTTTTCTAATCTCTATTATTCCATAGGAAGCATGTTAATGAGTTAAACACAGTTAATAAAACGCAACAAGCCCATAGTTTTGCTAGCAGCTGCTCCCCAAGGAAATAGAAACATGTAAATTGTCTCAACCTTTACACACGCTGATTTTTTGGCCTGCCTTTATTCCTCACAGTTGAGTAAGTTCCTGAAAAATATATATGGCTTAATAGCATTTGTAGCATCGCATTGATTTTTGCCTTGATAACATTCTAGCTTCAGCCTAGATGCATTTTTACTCTGGGGTTCAGCTGTGGGAGGCAGCAAAGCTTTTTTCTTGGGGTTCTGTTTTCTCGGGGGTGGACGTTGCTGTTTTGGGCTGYTCTCACACCCTTCCTTCCTCCTTTCCTTCCTTCCCTCCCTCGCCACGGAGGGTGCCCGGAGCCGGAGCCGGAGCCGGCCGCCTCACGAGGAATGCAATAATTGCATTTGGTTAGCRAGCAGAGAGGAGCTTCGCTGGGGCCAACTGCCGCCTTGCGTGTTCAAACAAGTGCTAGCGCTGCCCGCGATTGCTTTCTGTGCTTCTAACAAGCGGCTCTTGTAAAGCCCAACGTATATTAATATGCTTGGGCGTAAAGTATTGTGGCACAGTAATATATGATACATGATAAAACATATCAATTCTGAGCGCCACAAATATCTGCGGTTTCACCTCAGCATGAAGGCAAATGAGTTCCTTTTAGCTTGAGTGAGCCCAGAGATAAAGCGCCGAGCAGCGGCCCGCGCGCCGCGGCGCCGGGAGCCTCCTATCTCTGCCTCCCATTTTGCTCTCGCTAATCAGTGTCGCCCGCAGAAAATGCCCAGTTCGCAGCGCGATTAGAGGGCTGCCCTAGGAGGGCAGGGGGAGAGCAGCGCCGGGGACGGCTCCTGCTTTGGGGTGCCTGCCAGTGCCGTTCCCTTTGACGAGGTGATTTACGGAGTGCTCTTTTTGTCCTGCAGATAAGCCTCAAGTGCGGGTGTCTCAGAACTACCCGGTGCAAGGCCTCACGAGAGAAGGGGAGCCCCTCGAATTGACGTGTGCAGCTTTCGGAAAGCCACAGTAAGTCTGCAAGCTGGGCGGGCTGGGCGGGCGGGCGCCGTCGGGCCACCTTGCTCTTGCAGAAGTGTCACGTGCCATTCCCTGCGGAGAAGGCAGAGTAGGACTAGGAGACACGATAGAGAGGGAGGCAGCAGCTTTCTGCACCTGAGCCCGGCTGCGCCCCGAAGGACCCTCCCTTGAATCTCCTTCGCCGCGGCACAGCCGGCGCTTCTGCAGCGGCGAGGAGAGCGCCGAGCGGCTGCCGCCAGCCCCGCGCCTCCCGCCCAGCAACGGCTCCGGGGGCGGCTGCCGGCACGGACCCTGCCAAGGCAGCGCCAGGACGCGGGCGGGCACGCGGCGCCGCGGAGCGCGCCCGAGACGTTGCGCGGTCGCTCCTGCCCTGCCACTGACCGCACCATTGCTCTCCTCTTTTTGGTGTGGCTTTTTTAATGAAGTGCAAGCTTGTTCCTCCTCCTCCTCTTGCCCTGCCCTCGAGGCTTTCTTAAATAGTTTCTTAACCTCGTGCATCGGGAAAGGACAAATCTTGACGAGGGAGGTTAGCTTTACCTCTGCATTTTCACCGTTTTTCTTGTCTGAGTTCTGTTGACTTTCTTAGACGCCTCCTTTTCCATTTGGATTTATGGCTGTCAGGTATTTACCTCCTCTCCGTTTTTATTTTCATCATGTTCGTATGATTTCTGCAAACATCCCTGAACAGTGTCAGTGTGCCCTTGGTAGCGCGCCCAGCCCGAAGAGCGGCCGCAGGAGAAGCGCGCACTCGAAGCCATCGGCTTTGACAGCTCTGCCTCTGGGGCACTGACAGCGAGGGGAGCTGCCGCTCACAAGCCAGGAGCCTCGTGACGCTGTCACCTGCCACCAGAGTGTCCTGCCTCAGCCAAATTACCGTGTTGATTGCTGCTTCCCCGCTCCTTCTCTTCAGCGCGTGGGCGAGTCCTGCCCCAGCCGTTAGAGGGGCGCTTGTACGCGCCCTGCTGAATTTCAGTTTAAGATCTGTTGCCTGCTCACACTCTGTCAGAGCCTCTTTGCCGGCTCTCCTCTCGCAGGTAGCTGCGCTGCCTGCCATTTGTAGCATGTGGCAATTTAATGAACAGGCTTCTTCGGCAGCCCCCTGCTCCCCGAGGCTAGGACTAAGACCTGCGCGTGTGAAATCAGAGGGACGCATCTGCCAGGCASTGGGGCGCGTCCCGCCACGGCGACGCTGCTCACGGCCCAGGGAGCTGCTCGTGCAGCTCGCCTCGCCTGCCTCTCTCAACCCCTAAGCGGWGGCGCGCGCCAGGAGGGGACTGTCTCCAGTTCCACTCCCCGAGCTGCACASGTTCCGTCAGCTCCTTGGCAGAGGTTTACCAGTGCCTGGGGTGACTCCTCGCTGAAAAGGGTTCCTCTGCAAAACATTGCAGGACAAACATTGTCACTAACAGCACAGAGAAAAATGAMAGAGCAGAGAGTAAAAACCTGGGTTTTGGTAGCAATGCACATATTTTCATTGCCTAAGGTGACACCAAAAAAAGAAAAATCCAGTCGATGAGAAAAGCGGGCAGATGCGGGACCGGCCGCTTTCAGAGCAGCCTGTGCAAGGCACGTCCCTGGGGAGAGGGCTGCTGTGCAGCGGGCAGCACCTGACAGCTCTGGCAGCACTCATAGCTCTCCGAGAGCCTTTGCCGGGAGCATCAGACACCTTTTAGCAGTGTCGAGGCTGAAAGGACATTCCGGTCGTCACCTCCAGCGTCCTCGGCCCGTGTGCCCAGGGCAGCCTGTTTGTCCCCCCTGCTCCCCGGGGGCGCGGCGGCAGAACCAAGGCACCGCCCGGCCGCTGTTTTCCTTCCCAGCTAGAGCAAATCGTGCTCCCTCCTCTCCCTCCCCAAATCCCGGCACCACGACACTGGTTTTGGTTGCATTAGCACGAGGCTGCAGGAAGCGCGCTGCCAGTTGGAGAAAGAGGGCAGGGAGACGAGAAAAGCCTTCCTGTTCCCGGCAGCTGAAATGGCATTAATGAGCAGCAGCCCAGCCGGAGGTAAATCGCTCCGGCACGTCTCCCCGGGAAGTGGGTCAAGCCTGATGCCAATGTGCCTGTTCTGTCCCACGCTGTGCAGATCTGCGCTCAGAGCACCGCGCGCATGCATGTTTAGCCCGCAGATCTTAAAGATTGCAGGTTTACCGGTTGAGTACATGCTTCACCACTAATGACCTTTCTTCCTGCTTGCACTAGTGCTTTCGGAAAGCGTAAGGGCTGCATACGGTTTCCAGTTGGGTTAAAATGCATTTAAATGCCGAGGAAGCCCAAGAGCATCGGGGCTTGAGTAGTGCAAAAGTATGTGTTATTCCTTTACAGTTTTTCTTGGTTTGGGCTTTCTGTCTGTGGATGAACTGTTGAAGATGCCATCGTTACCGTAGGAAAATAGTAATGTGACTGTTTCTTTTTCTCCCTCCTCTGTAGGCCTACGGACATGAGGTGGTTAAGAGTAGATGATGAGATGCCTCAACACGTTGTAGTGTCTGGTTCAAACCTTCTCATTAGTAACCTAAACAAAACAGATAATGGTACATACCGCTGTGAGGCTTCAAACGCGGTGGGGAAATCACATGCGGATTACATGCTGTTTGTATACGGTACGTGAGAAAAACCACCGTTCTTCTAGACTCCTTTCCCCCTGATTGCTGCATCCCGCTCTCTCAAAGCTTTCCAGGAGGCTCCCCTTCGCAGGGCGCTGCGGCAGCCCCAGCCCCGCGCCGTCCCGGGGAGGGGGCCGGGCTGCGCGGCGTTGCGCGGCTCGCGGCGCCGCCGCCCTCCGCGAGCGGCACCTCGAGGGCAGCCCGCGGCGCTCGGGGCCCCTCGCCCGCCCTGCGGCAGCGCTCCCCTTGGCGTGTTCCCCTGGGGTTTCCTCCCCGCCCTCCCTAGCACCGGCAGCAGTGGCAGGGGGTTGTTTACTCGGGGCCTCTATTAGCAAGGTAAATTACTGAAGAATCAGCCGGCCTGCTCGGATAATTACAAAGCAGTAAATAATCGGGAGGAATGAGATGTCTTAAGCCTATCTTTGGCTGCTGAGCAGACACTAAAACATGTCTCGGCATCTTTTTAAGTGCTATTAAGTACCTACTTTAATTCTTCAGTTCCTCTGCATTATTTTACCATCGCTTTAAACCTCGCTGTGCTCTTGTCACAGAGGTCTCGCACATAATGGAGATTCAGTGGGCACTTGAAGAGTGATCCCCCCGTGTAATTGTGAATAATTCCCCTGGGTRCGTGCCTCAAAACGTTCCCGGGAGCAGCCTTGCTTCCCGGCTGGGCTGCGCCGGGGCTCGGCGCTGGGTGCTGCCTCGCGCGCAGGCCGCCCGGAGCCGGCTCCGGAGCAGCAGCCCGGAGGTGCTCCGCGGGGCCAGGTCCCCTGCGCCGCTCCCTGGCACCTGGCCCGGTGCCCGCTGCTCCCGCAGCCACCCGCACCCCACCAGTTCGGGGCTCCTTTTGGAAACAGGGCCAAGGAGCAAAGCGGGCGTCGGAGCCGGCGTTTGAGACCCACCGTGCAGGGTGGTGCCCTGCAGCACTGGAGCAGCCTTCTAGTGGCGCTAGCCCCAGAGGACTCCCCTTCGCGTAATGGAAAGCGAGGCTTTGAGATGGAGTAATTCATATGCTCGTGCTATTACAGTTGTTTAATTCCTAGCTATGTTTAGAGAAGCAGCTAACGCAGCAGAGAAACTATAAATCACTTGGAGGGGATGGGAAACCAAGGGCTCCACGCGAGACTGGAATTACAGGCGGCCACTGGAGTAAAGCAGTTGCAGAAGAGCAGGGCGGGTTTCTGCTCGTTGCTTTCATTCCTTGCCTACTTTAACGCACCTGTTCTGTTTCAGGGGAATGCTAAATTAAACCTCGCCAGTGGCAAATGAGCTGGTTAGGCCAGTTCGCACAAGGCTTGSGGGCAGCCACCCCGAGGACGTGGCCCAGGTGCGTGGCCCAGGTGCGTCTGCTCCTGCAGACAGCYGTGACTCAGCGGGCCCTGGGGCCCGGCTCCAGTCTGACCTCTACGTGGGGTCTATRTAAACCCTTAGAGCTGCTCTGTGCTCACACGCCTGCTAATTGTTCCGCATTTGGGATGTGGACGAGAGCTAGAGTGTGCACGAATTAGGCAGCACTTCTCCCCTTCGGGGTTAAATGCGCAGGCGAGCGCGGGGGAGGATGGTCCCGTAAAGGTAATCCGCGCTCCCCAGGCGCCCGCGCGGGCTCTGCTGCCGGGCTGCGCTGCAGGCGCCTGGGCACGGCGGGCAGCTCAGCTCCGCGGGTCTGCCGGGAGGGCCCGGCTGGCTCACCTCCCCCGTGCCCTGCGGCAAAGAGCCSGCTGCCCTGGCAGGCCTGCGCCCTCGGGCGCGCGGGCGGGCCTCCCTAGGCTCCCTTAGAGCACGCACGAGCCCGGCCGCTGCGGGCAGCTCGGCCCGCAGCGGGGCAGCGCCCACGGGCGAGGACGGGCGCCTCGGTGCCGCGCTCGAGCAGTGGCCGCGGGTCCCACGCACCGAGGCCGCGCGGAGCACGCGGCTGCGGCAGGTAGCACAAGGGCACGTGTGGTAATTAGGGAATCCGGGGGCTCGCCTGGAGATAAAAGAGAAGCAGATGGGTTAGTGATGAAAAGTTGACAGACTTTAGAGGAAATTTGAAATCAAAAGCCCAAGAACTGTTTCATGCTCCATTATTGCAGAATGAGCCCTTAGTTCAAAGCCTTCCTGACTACTTAACGCATTCAGTTTGATCATTTGGACACTGATATATGTGTTTTCTTTTCCATCTCCTCACGTCTCCCCTCTCCYGCTCAGTAGTTCGGATGAGGATGTGCCCCTGTACGTAACATAAAGGCTGTGAAGAGAGTGGCAGTGCTGGAGTTTGAGCAGGTCAAGCCTTCTGCAGAGATRCTCGCTCGCTCCAGAGAACTGCCTCCCTCTGGGCGCTTTCCGCTGCGGCTGCTCGCTTAGCAAGAGCTGCCGCGTGGAACTGGTCAGAAACGTAGGGGCTCCTCTTTAGGGAAAGATGGTGGTGAAATTTCCCCTGCCTCGAAATGGATATTTGGTAACGACATTCTCGTTGCTTTTTATTTATTGCTATCGTAGAAGTAGCTCTTCRCATCCTGCTGACGCACGCTCATCGAGGAAAAACAGCGTAAAGTAGACAGCCCTGGCAAAAAAGGGGGAGGGATTCCTGTGCTGTGGAGACTTAGCTGTTAGGCAGAGCAGGGCCCCGCGCAGCAGCTCCCACCTGGCCGCTCCGGCGGCTCTGCGGCCACGCGAGGAAGCGCCAGTGTCTGTCTCTGTACATGCACCGCTGCCTTTTGTCCTTCCTCGTCACGGGACGCGTGCCCTTGATTTGCCTCACGGCTCTCCCATTCCATCTCTCTCTCTCCCATTGACTAATTAACGCTGGGCTTGGTTCCTTTGGTTTCCTTTCAGTGTTTGGTTTGAGCACGGCAGAGGGGCCCGGGGCCGCGCTGGCGCCGGTGCCGGGCTCCCCCCGCGGGACGGGGCTCGGCACAGGCTGCAGCTGCGGGGCGGCCGGCCGGCTTGCTGCTCGCTGAGGCCGGCCGGGCAGCGCCCCTGCTCCCGCAGGGCGAGAGGCTGCCCGGGGCCGCCGCTGCCGCTGCTGCTCAGTGTCCGCGTTTTTCTCTGCTCATTATTGATCGCTGTTGTGTTCTGCTTGGTTTTTCTTAATTTGCTTTTTTGTTATTTTCCTTTTTATATTTTATCCAGATCCCCCCACAACTATCCCTCCTCCCACAACAACCACCACCACTACCACCACCATCCCTACCACCATCACAGGTACGGTACCTTCATAACCATTGGAAATGTCCTGATTGCCTGTTGTCTTTCTGTGTATATAAGTYGAGCTTGAAGCCTGGGGAAAAACAAGCACCAAATCAGGGGAGTTTTTTCCCCCAGTGCACCCCCTGTTCTGCCCGAGCCCGGTTGTGGCAGTCCAGCAAGTTGGATCGTCCTGACTGCACGGGCTTCTGAAACATGGCAATAGCCGTGTCAGAACACGCCGTTAATGCAGTTACTGGTGGCGAGGGTTGGGTGCTTGAAATGACGGCTCTGAACAGCCCGAAAACTCATTTGATGTGGCGAGGGGGGCGCAAATTTCATTCTCAACCCCATCAGCAGCAATTTTTGCGCAGTTTATCCTTGGAAGCGTGAGGTTTGGTCTTTAGTAATTGACTCCACCCTGCTCTGACTGTAGATGCTTATCCTCATACATGGATGTTTGCTCTCTTTTCTTTTTTTTTTTTTTTTTTTTTGAATTCCTATAATGGGTTGCCCAGCTCACTTTGAGAGAAGGGAATTCCCGCAGCCCTTTTGCTGTGAGGCTGCGAGGTCTGCAGGGCCCCTTCGGAGGCGCTGGCTCGGAGGCCTTGGCGGCTCCCCCTGAGCTCAGGCAGCCTGAGCCAAGCTGGACCAAAGGCCTCCGCCGCGGAGGCCGAGGGGCGGCCAGGCCGCCTCCTGCTCTGCACCCTCGCGCCTCCGTGCTGCGCCTGCCGCTCTCCCCGCCCCGCAGGAAGGCCTTCCTGCTTTCCCTCTCATCACTCCCATTGCCATCTTCTGCTCGTTTCTGTTTCTGCTGCTGCTTTTGGTTTTGCTGCTTTCATTTATTGATTTATTTATTTCATTTATTTCATGTTGGAGGTAGAGCTGAGACAAACTGAAGGCACAAATGGGCCACTGAGTATCTARTAGCCTCCCGTGTATGGTTGCTCTACGCCATGCCCTCTCGACGAATAGGCTACGTTTTGTTGTGGGGCCTCTGCTCAGCTGATTCTGCCTGTGCTCGGCTTGGGGGGTCCTGTGCCTTTTTTCCCTCTGAGGCTGCAGCAGCAGATGGGGCGCTGCTAGCACGGACAAGCCCTTGAAGCCTTTTCCCCCGACGTGCCTTACTCCGCGCTTGCTGTTCTGTCCTCCATGGGCCATCGTGCTGTCCAGGTTTGCCATTTTGTGTCTTCCTCCTTCCAGGTGGTCACTCCTGTACTGAAGTGCCGGCAGCCCAGCCCCGGGCCGGGGGCGCTCGGCGCTGAACGTCTTCCCCGTGTGTGATGTGCTCCTTTTGTTTCAGTTCTCTGTTTGTTATCTCTTAACCAGCCTTTGTTTCAGAGTAGGTTGGAAGCTTGCAGCTTGCCSGTTCAAAGTCTCCCTCCGCCGCGCCGCTCGCTGCCGTGCGCCTCGGGGTAACCCGGCCCCCACGGCTGCCTYTGGGTTTGCGATAACTGATTAACGTTTCCAGCGCGCTGATGCGAGCCGAAGGAGGACCGTGCCTTGGTGCTCGTGGCGCTGCCCGCTGCCGTAGCCACCGTCCTTGTCCCGGCAGGGCCGGGGTGAAGGTGTGTGCCAGGCTCAGCTGCCCCTCGGGCGCTGCGTGCTGAGCGGCAGTGACGGCCGCTGCCGCCTGCTCCGCGAGTGCGTTCTAGCCCTCCTCGCAGCAGCTCTCTGGCTTGTCCTGAACCTGCCTCCRTCCCAGCCGTTGAACCTGGGTGCCTCGGTTTTCGTAGCGGACCCAGCAGCGTTCCTGCTGTGCCAGTTGAGCCTGTTTCCGCTCGAGGAGCTGCCTCGGCGCCCTCGTCACTACAGGTAAAGCAAGGGGCTGCCTGAGCGCGTAGCTCTGGCTGGAGCGGCCGCTCCAAAAGTCCTTCCGCAGACGTTTGCGGGTGGGCGGGCGGACACGGACAGACCCTAGCGCTCGGCTTCGCGCCGTTTCCCCCGTGCCCGGTGTCGCTGGCGCTGCCCAGCGCGCCCGACCTGCTGCCCTCCCTTAGGAGAGGTGGCGCGTTCACATCCTGACCCCGCWGGACACGTGTGGCTCCCAGGGCGCCTTGGGACACCCGTGGGGATCGCGGGCTGGCCCTAGGCACGGCGGCTATCGGCGTGGCGTTCCCGCGCGCCGGAGGGAGGCATCACCGTCTAGTGACTCCCATGCCAGGACGTTTGTGTTCATTGGGACCAAATCCCTGCTCCTYGCTTGCTGTCCCACTGGGCTTAGTGCCTTCTGGCTCCTGAGAAGCCTTGACCCCGTGCTGATGAAGGTCTTTCWGGAACTGAGGCCCTTCTGATATAAATTTATTTCCAGCGATTTCTTCTTGATAACTTTCCATCAGAATGAGCCCTTTCCTCAAATAGGGGATGAGGCCGCCCATTTCCGAGGTGGCTGCAAGCATGAATAAATTGCAGAAAAGACTGCAGGCACAGACAGCGGTTCACCGCCGSGCAGTCCTTAAGTCCTTTCCGTGGCGGGCACAGTGGGGGAGTGGGACGCGCGTGGCCAGAGCGCTGCTCTCGCGCCTCGTGTCTCGTGAGCGGTGGCAGATCTGCGGCCCCGAGCCGCTGGCCCCGTGGCTGCGGACGGGAAGCCACGGGCCGCGTTCCCGCTCCCCCGCTGCCTTTCTCTGTTGCCTTTGAAGTGCTGAGGAGGGCAGAAATGTAATGAAGAAGTAGCGGTTTTCCCTGATAGCAGCAGTTACGGTTCGTGGTTTGCAGGAGGAAGGTTTGTTAACAAGAAACTGTAAGAGAAATTTATTATTCTCCTTCCTGACACTGAGTTAACGCTGGATCCTCGTGACGGGTGGCCTTGTGTGTCGGGCCCGCACGTTCGGTGTGCTTTTCTGTGTGAGGAACAGCCGGGGCTTGGCCGCGCTCCTCTGTGTGTGCGTTTGTGCCGTGTGTTGGGGAGCAGCGCCGCGGCCGTCTGCGCCGCGCTAGGATGGGCGGCCCAGCGCGGGACGCTTCCCTGCCCGTAGTCGCGTTGGAAGGCCGGCTCTGTGCTGACACCCGCAGATGGCACTTGGCCGCTCTTTGCACTGGCCGCTAGCCTTGTGTGCAAGCGTGGGGCGAGCTGCTGCCGCCGCCGCAGGGCCCACGGARGGGCCAGCCCCACGCCGGGGCCAGGACCTGGCCGCCCGTCTTCCGCCCGGAGACTTGGGGCCGGCGACGTGAAGAAATCTGCCACCCGCTTTAACCTCTCGATCGTGGGAGTCGTGTTCCCAGTCCGCACAGAATGCCTTGCCGCTAATGAGGGAATTAGCGCTAGGGCACAACTTGGAGCAGAAGGGCTGCCAGGGCCGCCTTAGCAAATCCCCCTCTTTGATGGGAGCTATTGTGCTCTTGCAAGCAGCTCTGCACGTATTTATCTCATCCTGAAGGTTGCACTCGTGGAATTTAACATTTGCTCCTCCTGCCGCAGATTAAAGGTTATAGAACAACCCGTTTTCAATCTGGGTTTCTGCAGAGACCAGGCAATCTGCTGAACGTACCTCGATGGCCAAGCCTGACAAATGGAGAGCAAAATTGTTTCCTGCTTGTGGCCTGCAGTGATTAATCCGTGCTTACCAGCTCTTGCTGCTCACAAAAGCTTCAGCAGCAACCCGCAGCAAGCGGCAGAACTCACCGCGGGCTGTCGGTGGCGGAGGGGCTGGGAGGTGAAGGAAATTAGGTCGAATTAACGTAAGCTCTGGGATGAGGAGGCAGAGGCGCCTGCGAAGCCTCCGAGGCGATGGGGAACTTAACCCTTGCCGTCCCCAGCGTGACGGGCTGCTCGTCCGCTGCGTCCTGGTGGGCGCGTGGGCGCGCTGCCCGGCTCCGTGCCCAGGTGGGTGCTTCAGCGCGGTGCTGCGCACGGAGCCCGCGGCCGGGAAAGCTAACGTGCCCTTCTTTTCCAGGAGACGGGAAAGCTGCGCGGTGGCGGACTTCCCAAACAGCACGCCCCTTAAAGCTTTTCCTCTGTCACTGCTGCTTTGCCTCAGTGCAGGTGCTGGTAAAGGTTTCCTGCGTGGCACTGGCTCTTTTTCCTCTGTCCCCCAACTGCATTGGTATTCCGAGCACCCTTTGGCGTTTCGGCTGTTATCACTGGCAAAAACCCTCTTTCCCTCCCCCTGCCTTTTTTTTTTTTTTTTTTTTTTTTATCAGTGCGAATTGTCCTTGTGGCTTTGTTCATTAAGATGTGCGATGCGATACGGCAGAGCAAACTGCATAATGCGAATTACCCCAGGGGCCTCCCTTGAAAGGCGGGTTTCGGGCAGCTGCTGTTTCCTGGGAGCTGGAGGCGCTTGCCGACAACAAAGCGCTCCCCTTTGGCCGTGATCCCGAGCGGAGCAGCTTTCGCGGACCCTTGGAAGCGCTGTCTGGCTGCCTCCCGGCCTAGCCTAGCACACCCACCCTCCCACCCTGCTATCTGGAGAGCTGCTCGTATGCGCACATTTGCATTTATTCCACTTTYTCTCTGCAGCTACAGTTTGCTGGTGCCTTGGCAACAGGTTCAGCGGAGGCCGGGGGGGCATGGCCCGCACATACCTTGCCTGGCCGTTCGGCTGCGTGCTGCTCATTGCCTTGCTTTGCACATGACAGATTCTTCAAGGACCCCCGCTGTCCATCTGGAAACGGAACCGGTGCCAAGTTGGCACTTGGCACCCTTGCGTGGCTTCAAAGCAATTGCCGGCCGTGTTTTAAAGTCGACGTAGCCTTTGAAGTGTACACGGAGTAGCAGATGAGCGGCTTTAGGAGAGCTAGTGTGGCAAGGAGCTGCTCCCAAGCAGGAACTGCGAAGCGAAGCCGCGCCTGAAAGGGCGGTGTCGGCAGAGCCGCGTGCCAGGTGAGCTCAGCTCGTGGCCTTGCGGCCTCCCTGGGCCTGGCTGAGCAGGGCAGAGTTCTTCCCTGCCTCCTGCAGAGAGACCGCGTAGCTGCCGAGTTCCTCTGGGTCGTAAAGAAACGTGTCCGTCTGTGTCCTGAGCTCCCCGAGTAATCGTGAGGCGTGCAAAACGGAGGGCTCACAAGAAACGGTGTAGCATGCTTTCAAAGTAGGAGGCACGTGCCAGAAAACTTCCTTAAAATGGTCAGAACGAAGGCTTTACTCCCCGCAGAAGTTTGTTCTTTCCCGGTTGCAGCTGCTTGTGTGACAAGCTGCAGTTGCATGGGATTTATTCCCACAGTCATCCAAAAAGGTGGTGGGTGGGACAAATGCAATAAAAATCATTCTTTGCGCAAATTACCTTGCAGGAGGTTTGTAGGAGGAGAAGAGGCCGTGCAGGGGGTGCTGGAGTACGTGTGTGCTGCAGGAGYGGTGGGCTCTGCCTCTGCTGAGGGCCGGGCGCCGAGGCTCGCTGCGGTGCTGCTGGCCTGGCCGCGTGCAGCCCCGGCAGCACCGCTGTCCTCGGGGCGCCCTCGCCCCTTTGCAGTCCTCGGAGCGCAGCGGCAGGAACCTGCCGTTCACGCTGCGGAGCGCTCAGCGGGAGGCTGCTGTCAGGRCAAGGACCTTAAGGACTCCGTGCTTGCCCTGGTCTGCAAGTAGGAAAGTGTGGAGAAGAGGGGAGCTCCCCAAACCAGTTACCAGAATGGCTTTGGTGTCCCGTTAAGAAAGCASTGCATTAAGTGGATAGGTATATTACCTTCTTAAATGAAATGTGCTTTGCCATTCTGGTGATGAGGTGCTGTTCTAAGGCTCTACCGTAGCGATGAATCGGTAAGTGCCGCTGTATCCGTGTGTTTTTGTAAGGCAGGAGAGCGGCAGCTCACCGCAGGAAGGAAAGAAGCAAGTTGACAATTTTAACGTTGCTACTAGGGTTGGAATKTTCCTCTCTAGTCTCGTTGGGCTTGAGATTGAGAGCTAAGTTATGGATCAGTTTAAAAGGCCGAGTCCTTCGCGCTCAACAAACGCTTTTAGGTTGGAGAGAATCCGAAGGAAAAGGACTTAAGGCATCGCTCTGGAACTTGTAACTGAAGTCTTAGGCTGATGCCTTTGTGAAGTTGTTTTTTTTAATGTATTGTAAGTGTACAACAATTYTCATACATCTGTAATTGTAGCCCTCAATGCTGCCAGAGCGTTCTTGTTTGGCAGAGCGTTTGGCACTGGGTGTCGGTGCCAGCCCGGGCCGGGTCAAGGTTGGTGGAGTCAGAGCACGTGCTCTCTTGCCGCTGTGCGCTTGAGAAGCGAGGGCGGCGGCAGTTTCCTCCCGGAGTCGGGGACAGAAACCCCGTGCCGGGGCTCCTGCCTTTCTGGTGTGACTTGGGAGGYTGGCCGGGTGGGTTAGGCGCCTCCGGACGGGGGTCGCGACGCTGGCTGCTGTGGGGCAGGGACGCGGCTCCGTGCGTGGATMCCAGCGGTGGCGGAGGTGATGATGAGGGTGGCGATGAAGGCGCTTGCCCGTGCGCTCGTTCCTGTCCCACCGGGGCGGCCGCGGCCGTTCCCCTCTCCGTGGCGCAGCGAGCGAGCGCTGTGGCAGCGTGTGTGTGTGTGTGTGTGTTTGTGGTGGGCACCCCGGCTCTCCCGCACGTCTTTTAACGCGAGCTTCTTCCTCCTCGGCGCGCTGCGCGCACACASTGCTGCTCCTCACGGAAGACGCTGGGGTTGAGATGGACCTCCACAGAGCTCACCCTAATCTTTAACTGGTCTGTGTTTCCTCTTGCAACCATCCAAGCCATTTGCTAATCATAACTTTGTCATTCCAGCTGCAGCCAACATGTTGTTTGACTTGGATATTTGTTCGCACTTACAACTGCTTGAGAACTTTATTTTGTGTAACCTGTCGGTCTCTGTCCCCAGATGGGGAAGCGAGATGCACTGTCCAGTTTGCACTGTTTCTTGACTAATATCTCTTCCAGCACGTGAATGCAAGTTTGCTTTCAGCAGATTCTCTATGCAGTGTAAAAGCTGACATAACTTTTTTGTTTCAGGAAGACAGTAAATTGAGACTATGTATAGGTGCCGAGGTGCTACCTCAGGACTTGCACTCAGTTGATAACTCTTGCCGAGCACGAGTCCCCCGTGCCTTCACCACCATTTTCCCCCCTCACCATTTGCTTGGTTGAAACGAGGCGTTGTTGCGGTGCTGCTGCTCCCAAAGAGAAGGAAGGCACGAGCAGAGCAGCAGGTGCCWCGCTCCTTCCCCCTTGGCTTTTGGAAGGCTTCCCTTGCTGCCGGCACCAGGGCTCCCAGCAGGCCGATTTCAGAACGTGTTAGAGGGGAGTGCCCCGATGAGAGCAGGAGACGTTGGCAGTGGGAGCAGACGAATGACGCCTTGCTAATCTGCTATGCAGATTTTAGTGCAGCTCGCTAGGTTGCTCGGGGCTTGTTTATGTGGATGTGGGGAGCACGCAGCCCGTGTTGCGGATGCCCGCGGCGAATGCGGGGCTCCCCGGGGCGAGCAGAGGTGCGGGACGCTGCGCGGTGCCCCCGCGTGCCTGCAGCCCGTGGGGAGCTGCAGGGCTGCGCAGGGGCCAGCCCGCTCGGGCGCGTGCCCCGGGCAGGGCGCTGTTCACAGCACAGGGCACGGCCGGGGAGTCCACCTGCCGCTAGGCTAGTCGGCCTCGGAGACCCTGGGAACGCAGGGGGTTGGACCAGCCGTTGGTAGAGAGCAGCTGGAGGATGCGGCAGGCTGCCGTGCTCTGTGCCCGGCGGTGCCCAGCGCGCGGAGCGCTGCAGCCTCTCGGCGGTGCCAGGGCGCCCAGCCTCCAGCCGCCGCAGCCTGCGGCTCCCGCGGGTGCCTTCACCCGAGCGCGCAGCTCAGCACAGGCAGAGCAGGGGCCGGACCCGAGGCGGGGTTTTGAGCAGAGGGACTGCGGGGAGCTGCTGGCCCTGTCCCTGGAGGAGCCGGGCGCGGGCAGAGGCCGCCCGCGAGCCCCGTCCATCCGCCCGCGCGGTGCCGCGTCCCGAGGCAGGAGCCCGGCCCTGCCCGCCCGCCTCGGGGTCCGCAGTGGGACACGGCTCCGTGCGCGAGCCCCGCGSAGCGCCCCGGCCCCGCAGCAGATCCCGAGGGAACGTCCCGGGAAGGCAGCACCTCAGTGCRGAGAGGCTCCCTCGCCAGGGCGGCCGCTCCGGAGCTGCTCCTGCGCCCCTGCCGGCAGCTCCCGCGTTGGGCGCGTGCCCCGGCCCTGCCGCCTCGCGCTCCCCCAGCTCTGCCCCCACCACAACTTGCTCCGCTGCCAAGGCTCCTGGGCAAAACGCAAAATTTACTGTTTTCCTCAGGCTTATAGCTTTTGAACTCGAGGCATGTCTTCTAAACAGTGCAACTCACTTCAAATGCTTTTTGCCTTTCATTTTATTATTGCTTGTCACGCAATGTTCTTTGAAAGCTTGCTCATATATTATCTGTTCCATTTTTTCCATTTTCCCTTTTTTTGCATGCTGTTCCTCCTGTTTCTTCCCTTCCTCCAATCCTCTGTTCCCGTGTGTAGACACAACGGCGACGACAGAACCGGCAGTTCACGGTTGGTATCACATTCCTGTTTATCTTATTTCTCAGCACTGCTGAGTGGCAAGACAAGCCTGGGAAGGGGAACAAAAA